TCACAGTGTCCCCAGTTCACAGGGAGAAGTAGGGTCCCTGCATGGCTTTGTTTCACAGTGTTTAACATCCAGTATGCTCCCAACCTCACCACTCTTTTGCAGGAGGCCCTTGCCATCTGCTTGTGGGTGCCCAGAGGCTTGAGCCTTCCAGACTGGGTAAAAAAAAACCACATACCACAGGCAGCAGGAGCTACCCAGCCTCGGCTGCCTCGGCCCTGGAATAACGAGGGGCTTTCAGAGGGCTTTTGTCCTTCAGAACTGAGCCAAAGTCTCACACCCACCAGGGGCACGAGATGGAGCTAATCTGCAACACTGCCTGCCCACCACTTGGGCATCGCTTTAAAAAAACACAAAAAGCCACACACATACCCATGACCCTTTAATCTTTAGCCATTAATATTTAACAGGGCTCTGACTGCATATGAAGGGAATTCAAGGATATGTTTCCACCTAAGGTCTAATTATTTAATAATGGTGAGAGAACCCACCTTTGTATTAGAACTCACTCATATGTTGCTTTATAGGCCACCTTTTTAAATAGAGGCTGAACAGTCTATTTTTTGGTGCCCACTGTTTTCTGCATATCAGAGGGCACGAAGATGCGTCATCAGGGCCTTCAACAGAGAACAATAGAGCTAGAAAGAGGATTTCTATCAGATGGTGATGGTCACATGATAGAAATCTCCTTCTGTGGCGATGGTGTCACCCCGAGGATTACAGTCACCCCTTATCGGCCAGTTTCAGACAAGATGCTGTAGGCAAATTCCCACTTGTTCAGAAAGCTGCTAGGACACAGGCCCTTAATATAAAATGTCAGGAGTACATTCTGACATCCATGAAGTTTGAGATTGGTATTAATGTTTTAACTTAGCGCTCATAGGATCTTTCTGAGCACCAGCCATGCTTAATTAGCTGACATTGGGCATCCAGTGCTTGGTTGAGAGCCCATGTGCCTTGGATTTGGGAATGCTGATATCCCTGTGGGCCTCCCAGCCTCCCCGTTGCATTGAACATCGGCCCCACCTGAACCCAACTCTGTGTCCCACCCCTTGGCTTTGAGGGGACAGAGCCATCTATCTAGTCACTTGCTTTATTGTCTGAGCTTTTATTGTGCTGTTGTTTTGGGGGAACACAGCCTGGTCGGGCAAGATTCTTCAAATCCCCATTGCTCAATAATGGCACATATAAGATTCTAATGTATTTTCAAGGTAATCTGGTAGCATTTTGCTTTTTTTTTTATGTCTGTTTTAATTTACATCTTTTTTTCTTTCATTAAAATCTTGGAGGGCCAGGATTTAGCTCAGCGGTTCGGTGGCCTGCCTTGCAAGCGCAAGGACCCGAGTTCAATCACTGGTACCAAAAAAAAAAA